ATTCACTAATTCCCTGTAGCTCAAGAGATGCTAATTAATTCAAGAAGCCATAATAGCTAATCATTGGCTAAATAAATCTAAAATGGAGAGAGTCTGTCACTGGAGATACCACTGCTTATTTTAATTAAAATTACCAATTTGTGAAGTAATGTAAATAAAGGTTATTGTATCCTTCCACTCCAGGAAGTATTAACCCTTTGCATGGCCACCTGAGAATCTAACAAGACTTAAAAAGCCAAGAATATTTGTGGAGCTTAATCAATCACTGAGTTAGGATATTTACCATTCCCAGCGTGTTGTTCATGGACATTATAAAAATCGTGTGGAGTAAATCTGCCTTGAAACAAAACAGGGGATGGAGAAGAGCTAAGGGTGGTTGCCTCGAAGGAAATACAATCAATGTGAAGGAAGCAACCACCCCAAAATAAATGATTACCTTTATAAACATTCAGGCCTAGGGAAAAGCAAATGTTCCAGCTCTGAGTTTCCATTTGTAAGGAATAAATTTATGCAAATGCCCATTAGTTTTAGTGGTTTTGTAGTTCAGAGTGATCTCACCTTGTTAACATGCAGTACAGCTGCTTGTAGCCATTTGAATGTCATTTGGAGAGACAGAAAGGTTGCCTCTTCATTACATGACTAAATGGCAAGGCTCAGCCGCAAAGCTCACCTTGGGAACGGGATACACCTGCATGCTTAGCCGCTCAAGCCAGCCAACCCAAGAAAGCAGTGTGTGTAGGAGACCATATAGTGTGAGTCATCACTAAATCCTAAGCTGAGCAGCCATGGTGCTCCTGGTAGATTTACCCTTGCCTAAGAGAAATCCTTCTTTCTTGTCTCTCTGATCAGCTCAGGAGCCATTGATGATAAAGTCCTAAAACTAACTGCTAATAAAACCCCAAAAGTTTTAGAGGCACAATGAAAAGGCACAGTTCACAGATACCTTTTAAACAATGGTTGGGGAAGTATTACAGTTTAGTCAAAGATCTGAAATTAGTCTGAAATGAAAAAAAAGGGACATGCTTTGGGATGAAGGTGAAGCTGGCAAAGGAAAATTACTGTCATCTTGTCAAAAGGCTACTTCTGAATGGAGCCTCCTGACAAAACAGAAGTCTGGCTGAAACTTGAACCAGATAAACTTGTTATGCAAATAGCTTTAGCCATAGGGGAAAGGGCTGATAATGAAATCTCTACAAAGTCAACCACACATTACAGAGGTGACAAAAAACACCAGGCAGGGTCCTAGCTTACAGTTAAAAAGCAGTGCAGAATTTATGTGAGCATCATGTTTAATTTATCATAACTAAGCTGTCAGGAGTACTGCTTTGACAAACGCATAACTAACACATACAAATGAGTCAATTATCACTAACAACCAAAGGTTCAGAACCAAACTGATGTTTCTTTTCTTTTTTTTTTTTAAACCACAAAACATGTTTACTAGTAAGATTTCAGACTTTCTTAAAATCTCTCCTAGTGTCTCCACATTAAGAAGGCTGGACACCTGAAAAACACCAAGCCACCTCCCAGCACCCACCCCCCCCACCCCACTTCATGTACATTCCCTCTCTCATTCACACACACTCTCTCTCTCTCTCTCTCTCTCTCTCACACACACACACACACACACACACACACACTCACACTCTCTCACACACACAGACAGACCCTGTCCCCTGTCTACACAGCTATAATCAGTAGGCTACAGCCAGGTCAATCCCTTTGGACCACTGCAGCAAACAATGAGAAGTCATACAGGTCCTTGGTAAATGGTGACCAACATGGACCGAAAAAGATCAAAATTATTGAATCACGTCTGCTATGTTTTAGCAGTCACATGGGGATAGGGTATTAAAAGTTTTAAAGCTGCTAAAGAATTTCTAGTCCTGTTTATTCTTTAGAGAGAATCAGTTTATTTACCTTAATACAATGCACTGTTATTCAGTCTACAATGGGAATTGAAGCAATTATCTGAATAATTCAAGCTAAAAACATCTTTCCTGAAATTACCAGAAAATCATCTTCCCCACCCCAGTCCCACCAATATGAAAATCTGAAGGCCTTAATCCTCTGTCCTTCTCCCGGTTCCCTCCCAATATGAACAAGATAAGTATAAAAGCAAACCAAGGCTCTCTCTTTCAATAGACATTTCTAACCCAGTGAGTGTCATTGTTTGTATTTCATTAGAGATTTGAATAAACAGAATGAAATAGTAAAGTCAAATTCAATTGGTAGGCTGAGTAATGGCAGCCTAGGGTATGCAGGCTCATCTATGAAACCAAAGGTTATTATTTGGAATAGTGGGCAGGTTTCTACCTAAAGATATAAAATATAATAATTAGTCCCTAATCTTGAGACTCTATTCCAAAAATCTTGTAAAAAAAAGAACTAATGGTCGAGGAATCTAAGATGGTATATGGGGAAAGCAGGATTGGGAGCTGAAATCAGGAAAGAATCTATGAACAACTATAACATAGAATATTTTCACTAATAAAGCCATTAAGGACAACTCATTATATAAACAGAAGATTGATGACATTTTTGCATATCTTAAATTAGTAGTAAAGCACACAATCACTTGATTTCTATTCACCTTCATTGGTTCATAAGAACTTTTTCAGACTCTCCCTCTCCTGCCGTTTCAACAAGATGCTTTTGCTTTGCCCCGATAGCATGCATACTAAAGGCATTGTTTTTTGTGTTCTGTCTTCCATTCTAGTATCAAGACCCTCTAAGTCTAAAGCAAATCAGGATGAGTGCACCTGGAGTTAAGCAGATTTAAATGGGCATGTCATAGAATACTGCCATAAAGAAAAATCAATAGTTGGGAGGGATTTCCACACTGTTTAACCCTGAGAGTCCCAACTCCATCATTAAGTATGTACCTTTATTCCCAAATCCATCTAAGCAATACCGTGCTTGGTTTAAGAATCCAAATACACTCTTGAAAATATATATAGAAGATAAAATTTAGTGAGTCAAGTCACATTTTAGAAGAATCACAAGAGCTTGGTATAGGAAGGCATATTTGTGAATATGTAATGGATTTTTCTAGGCCAACAGTTTCAAGAAGGTCAATCAAGAGAATCTATATGCAGCAATGGAATGAAAGGAAAACTCTTTAAATCCAGCCTCTGCTAGCAAAATCACTGGAACCCATAGCCCCTGGACTTCTCTCCCTGGGGTGTGTTTCCAGCCACCAGGATGTCTTTAGTTCTCCAGTTCCCTTCACCTCCCCCTTTGGCTCCCAAATCCCAGGAAGTGCCTCTTCCTCTGCTCCTATGTGAGCATCATCCCTCTTCTTCTATCTGTTGTTCCTCTCACCATTATCTGACATTGCCACCTTGAGGTGTGGCTGCTTCTGCATTCTGCAAGCTTTGCAGAAACACCAGAGTGGGGACTGGAGGGGTGAGGAAACGCCCTGGCCCTGAACTTCATGGTCACATTCCAGTACGGCCTTGCTTGGTAGAGTTCTTGGAATATTTACCACTCTTGTCTCCTGACAAAGGTGAAACAAATCCAGGAGGGGCTGGACAAGCAAACAATTTCAGGGACCTTGAACTATGATGCACTTGAAACAACAATTAAATATAGGTTTACAGCTCCTTCTACTAACCCTTGGGGTCAAATATTTTTTTGGAATTCAGAATTTTATCAAATTTTAGAAAAGTAAGCCAGTGCATTTACTGTATGTTATGTAACATTCCCCAGCAGGATCAGGGGCAGAACACTGTACTCAAACACATTAATAGATCTGCAGCAATTCACATGAATATTCACACTGAGTGAGATAAATAAGGACTATAAATAGCTTCACTTCAGTTTAGGTCATGTGTTGCCACCAAATCAGTTCACATAAGGCCAGGGCCTGTAGCTAAATGAGTCAAGTACAAAAAAAACTTTCATTTCTCAGAGCTCTTTGGATTCTAGAATTGTGGATAAGGAATTACTGATCTGTATAATGACTGAGTACAGAAGATGATCAAGGGACCCAGTTTCTTTCATTGCCCTGACTTTTTGAGGAAGCTAAGTCTGCACATAGGCATAAGTTAGAGAAATTTGTGTTGACCCTTCCCTAAGTACTGTTTATGAGCTATTTTTGGCACTTCTTTTCTCCCCCCATGACTTCTGAACACCTTATTTGGTCTACTAGACACTGAGCACACCTCTTCCCAGTCCCTGTACCTGGATATGCCTTGTAATGCCTGGTATGGATTTCTGCCCCCACAGTTCATCAGGAGCTTAGCTTGGGGTCACACAGTTCCCTCCAGCATACTGAGCATCTTCCCCAGATCTGGGACCAGTGTGGTCCTCTATCAGACCAGGGGCCAGGCCAAAAGCTCATATTCCCAGAACTGAGTCACCATCCTGTTGGTGTTACTGTTGGTTCTGCACCTGTCTTAGTCCCATTCTATCTTGCCTAGCTCCTGGTAACATAGCTCCCATCAGGCACACCACCCATCACTTGGGTTTTCATCTTGTTCTCCCTGCCCTGAGCCCTGGCTGGGGCTGTTCACCTTGGTGCCTCAGGCTTGAGATCCTACTGTGCCCCTCAATCATCTTGGGAACTGGAGCTGTGTTCCCACACCACAGATCTAGAGCAAAGCCCAACTTCCAAGCTATAAGACCCCCATAGAAGGCTGCCACCCTCTGTCTCTTCCCTGGGCCTAGTGGGGGCGGGGCATCATAGTTTCAGATGTTGAGTTTCCTCCACTCGCAGTATTCGCCCCAGGACAAGTAGATTAGATAAATGTGAGTAGATTCTCAGATAAATGTGACCCATATGATCAGGAGGTCTGATTACAGTCAAAAGTCAAATGGAACTCTTTATTTTTCAAATCCTGCAGAGGCATCTTCTATCATTTACTGGAACAAATTCTGTGTCATATGTGCTAAAAGGCATAACAACTTTTAGCGCCAAGTAAATTCCACAGCTCAGATTTCCAATCACTGTTCAAGGCCTTGCTGGATAAGCAATTTTTAGTGGAAGAAATACTCACTGTGAAATAAAGTGGTTGAACTCCTCACACCATTTTTCCGGATGAAGTAAAGTAGGTGGAGGATTTCTGAAAAACAAAAACAATTTTTTTCTTACAAAAAAAAAAAGTGTTTAGTTAAAGGCAAAATACCAACTTGTCTTTACTGATATTGTTCTAAATAGCTCTGATAAAATCCATTCTGTTTCTTCCCGGGTGGGAGCCACTCGTTAGTGGTAAATTACAAAGTGCCAGCCCCTATTTATTTAGTCCTTCATTTTCATTGATTAAAGGCCTACTATGTCCATGGTTTTCTGTAGGAGCTATGAGAGTTACACAGATCAGGACCATTCCTCAGGGAGCAAGCACTAATGAGGGGCAAGGCAAGCATACAACCACTATAACCGAGAGCTGAGTATTATTAATGCCATAAAAAAGAAAGCTACAAACCTAGTGCTAGGGGCTTTAGAGAAATTTTACAAGGATTTTCAGATCATTATACTACCATGTGAATTAATTATGTGATGCATTTAAAGTACACTCATAAATTCATCAGTCAAATTTTTAACCATTTCCTGTATGTCAGCTTCTGCAATAGGCACTGGGGAAAGCAAAACAGCTAAAACAGTGTTCCAGGCCCTATGGAGTCCCTGCGTAGAGAGGGTGACAGACATCTAACATAACTAAGTACTGGAGGTCCAAGAGAACTAGAGAGCTGCAGAAAGACTCTGGTAACCAGGCCACTTCCTAGAGAGAAGGCAGGATAAGGGGAAAGTAAGAGCCCTGCATTTGGCTGAATATTTACCCAAAGAGATTAGATTTTAAAACAGAACTGACATTACCTTTAATTGGTAAGAGCTTTTTTTCTGGTCATAAATGGAAGTAGGGGCTTCTGGGCAAATTAAGTATAGCAAATAGAGAAAGTTACATTTCTGTACATCTGAAATAGGACTGTAAATCTTAAACACATTATATAAGTTATCTTTGTTTTCACCTGGGTTCTAACTACTTCCTAAAGCCACAGATTGCTTAGCTTCAAAAGGTAGAAGAATGGGAAGCAGCGAGAATGACTGAACTAAACAAAATGCATCAGATAATGTGATTACAATTTACCTCTCAATACCCATTCTCCTCTCATTTTTTTTAGTACAGCTTTTATTCTGACACAATGCTGCTATATAAAGACTACGTTTTCCTGAGTTTCTTGCAGCTAGATGTGTCCATGTGACTGAGTTCTGGCCATTGCTAAAATTGTTCAATGGTATTTCCAGGAAGTCTTCTTTTTTTTTTAATTTTAAAGATTTTTTTTTTTTTTTTTTTTTTGACAGAGAAAGAGAGAGATAGCGAGAGCAGGAACACAAGCAGGGGTAGTGGGAGAGGGAGAAGCAGGCTGCCCCCCAAACAGGGAGCCCAATGCGGGGCTTGATCCCAAGACCCTGGGATCATGACCTGAGCCAAAGGCAGACACTCAATGACTGAGCCACCCAGGTGCCCCTCCAGGAAGCCTTCTTAAAAAGAGGAGCGACATCTTCCTTCTTCCCCCTTGCTGCTTCCTGGAGTATGGATGTGATGGCTGGAGCCTGAGCAGCCATTTGGGACATGAGGTAAACTTGAAAATGAAAGCTATAAGCTGAGTATGGCAAAGAAGATGGATAGGAAACTGGATTCATGATGACACTGCAAAGCTGCCGTACCAGCTCTAGACTGCTTCCTGTTAGTCTTCCTTAACAGGAGAGAAGTAAACTTCCACCCTTTTTAAGCCATTGTTAAAATGCAATTAATCCTAAATGAGTCAACAATATTTCAGAGTATTATCCTATCACATGATGAGAAGAGAAGTTGATAAGTGATACAGAAATACACGAAGATATGTGGGAGCATAATTAAGGAACAATTTACCCAATCTGGTGAGTCCCAGAAGACTTTATAAAGAAGATGAACTTAAACTGACCTCTGAAGATTAGGATGGATTTTTCAAGACAGAGAAAGAGAGGATTGACACAACAGGCTTAGAAAACAACATGTACCGGGCGCCTGGGTGGCTCAGTTGGTTAAGCGACTGCCTTCAGCTCAGGTCATGATCCTGGAGTCTCAGGATCGAGTCCCGCATCGGGCTCCCTGCTCGGCAGGGAGCCTGCTTCTCCCTCTGACCCTCCCCCCTCTCATGTGCTCTCTCTCTCTCATTCTCTCTGTCTCAAATAAATAAATAAAATCTTTAAAAAAAAAAAAAAGAAAGAAAGAAAACAACATGTACCAAATCACAGAAGTGTAAAAAAGTCTGGTAGGTTCAAAGAACGTAAGTAATTTTTTGAGGCTAGCCTATGTGATTCTTTTGGATCTGGAGAGAGAGCAGGAGGGAAGGAACAGTGATAAGAGAGAAGTATATAATTTCCCTGTTCTGCATAAGAATTTAATTATCCTTCAGATCTTCTGATTCAAAGACCCAAAGGAAAATTATCTGTGTGCCCAGCTAGAAAGAGTAAGCAGCTCAAGGTTGCCCTTCAGTTATTTTGGAGGCTGCCTCTATCTCGTTCATTTTATTCAACAATATTTGCCTTCATCTTTCCCTTGCATTTTTTAAATAATCAAAGTACCATCATATAACTTCTGCTTCAGTGCTTATTTGAACTGACCTGTTCTTACTGGCTCCAGCTGTTTGAGGTCCCAGCTGTGGGCCTCAGTGTGGCCTCTCTCAGTGACGTTATCCTACATCATCTCCTAGAGCCCTTTCCAGAACTTGAACTTTCCTTAGGTTTTCTGCCCATTCTGAGCTCACTGAGGTCAGTCCCACAGAGAAGACATGCTTAAGCAATTTACTATCTAATAGACTTAATTCACCCCTAAAGCAGTTAACCATGACCAAGAAGTCACTTGTAGACAGAATAAACAGACTTGATTAAAACAACCCTAGTAGGCTCAATACTGGCCAGCTGAGCATGAAGGGACAGCCCTCTGCTGCAACTGAAGAATGACCCCGCAAGGGTCCATTGGAGAAATGGATGGCAAGCATCCACTCTTGTGTAGAGAACACTGCACTTTCCTGTTTTCAGTCTAGGTATCAGCAGGAACTACAGGCCGGGCGATGGTTTATGAGCTGACCTGAACCTCTGCAGCAGGGCATGGAGGAGGAAGCAGGAGATCACCACTCATCCAGACCATCACCAATCCCTGGTGGCCTCACATGAACCCCAAACAAGGAAACATCTTTGAAGCTTGGCATCATAGGAATTTGGTTTCAGAGAAGCTTATTTGACCTTGTAGGTAGGTGCCCTGTCTTTCCTGAAGTCGATCCATCATACTTAGGTTCAGTGAAGAGAGATCTTGTGAAAGATTATTATCTGTGTATAATGAAAACTAAAAGGAATATGAAGGCTTTATGGTATTTTGTTTGCACTAGCAATATAAATTCCAGTTCTCTCGCCATCCAGGAGGAGCACCAAATAGTAATGATGGTACCTTTTTTGGCTGTCAATACCACAGATGCAAGCTGCAACCGTGCCCAGCGGGTCTCTCTCCAAAAGGAGAGGAGATGCTTCATGTTCAGTGCAATGGGAGAGTCAGTGCATAGCTGTGATTCAGAGACAAGCAGGCATCCCTCACTTATGTGTATGGATGCCAAGAGCCTGCAGAATGTTTGAATGGTGAGTGGCCGGAAGGACTGTGAATCTAAATAACCAGCTCTAATTTGGATAATGTTTATAAACATACATTTTGTTTTTTGAGAAAAGGCAAAAAGCGAAAATAGTGTTCAGTGTTTGTTTTGCAGTAAGTCTTTATAGGGGCAGTGCAAAGTCCAAGCAGTGAGAGAGGCCCCACCAAGCTCCCTCCCTCGGAACTACACTCAACTTCTCAGCATCACGCTGCCATAGCCTTGAATCCTGTCTGTGAGCATCTGTACTTTAACTCGATTTATGTTGTGCATCCATTAACAATGTGTCCTAAGGCATCAGAAAAGCCTAAAAGAGGTTATCTTTTGGGTCTTGGAATGCTCAAAAATTTTTCTATATAAATTAACGACAATTGCTTCTTTGCTTTACACTATTTTGGCTCAAGAAAGATTTCATAGGAACACTCTACTTTCAGGTAGCAGGGGAAACCTGTATTTGATCTGAATTTTGCCTGTCTGGGTTTTACTCCTGTGATTTGGACGCCAAGTTCAATTTCTATAAAGATGATCTGCTGTACACAGACAGCATTAGGGCTACATGAGACTAGAAGCATGGGGTGATGTTAAACAGAGTCATGAACCTATTATATATCCATTTTTGACCTGGGTCCAGCAAATACAATGGAGATCAAGTTAACCTTCTTCTCCCAAAGCCTAATAAACTGCTTTTCTGAACAGCTGAACTGAATTCATTCTAGTTCCTGAAATGGAGAAGCAGCTGACTGGGGTGGGCCACCTGGCCTCTGGATAGCCAATCCCCATTTAAACTTTTGGCCTATGCCATGTAATGATGCAAAATGATAATCTGGGTCAATCTGATTCTCTCTAGGTTTTTTCCCCCACCTTGAACTAAAAAAATAAACACAAAACAAACAAAAGAATGAAGGAGTTTAGAATGAGAGCTGAAGCTAAAAGATCCATGATAACACGGCAAATGGGAGAGGTCACGGAGCACAATGTGCAAGCTGAAGTTTTAGGAAGCAGAAACTATGAGGAGGCAGAAAACGAGGGAATGAGGAGAAAACAAGCCAGGCAGAGGAGAAAGGATGAAATGTGTCACAAAAAAAATGAGACCCCATAGGCTATTCTTGAGTTCCTTTTATGAGTGCTGCTCTCTCTGGTGCACCTGGAATATTACTGGCCACAGCATTCTGTTCTTGGCCCTATTCTCTTCCCATTCTCCACATTCACTGAGGGCTCACTACATGTCAGCGGCTCCCTGTTCTCTTCCCATTCTCCACATTCACTGAGGGCTCACTACATGTCAGCATCTCCCCAATCTCTATCTCCTGCCTTGATTTCTCTTCTGCCTTTTGGCTAGTGCATCCAACTACTTTTTAGATGTTCCATTTTGATTTCCCAGGGGCACCTTAAAGTCAGCATGTTCAAAACAGAACTTATCTTCTTCCCCTAAATCTGCATT